CTTAGAAGAGACCCATCAGAAGAAGAGGAGCCTTACGTATGCAGACTTGATGGCTGGAATCTCGAGAAGAGGATGAAGGCGATGTTTCCTTTTAAGGCTGGGTACAGAGACTTTCCTAGTCGGTCATGAATTGTTCCAAACTTTGGGAATGGTGTTTATTACTATTGCAGTAGTTGTCGTAAAAAGATGGGATGAGCAGTTGATTTTAGAAAATTAATGAAAATATTTTAGAAGTTTGATTTCTAGCTTCGCAATATTACCGGGTTGCAAGATTTTTAACCAGAGAGAAGATATAAAAGTATTTTTTCAGACGCGTTGTCACGCTGGAACGAGGTTTAAATGTTGAGGAAATTAAAGTAGTACAAGTGGGACAATTATGAAAATTGTAAAAATTCTGCTTAGAATTATTAAGAAAGTACAAGTAATTTTTGACAGCGATAAGTGGTAGGTATCTGACCGCATCTTACAATATTTCCCCCAAACACAGCTTTTTATCGTTGAAAATATACATTGAATTAAAGGTTGATCCCCCTCCCCGCCCAACTTTTTATTGAGGTTTAGTCAGATCAATACACTTCACTTATGTATTGAAAAAAAATGGCACCCCTCTCTCCCGAAAGTGGATTTTGGAGTTTGGACTAATTTCCGGTATAAGTTCACCTGAGTCATTCAAGTGACCCATTGCTCACATCAGATGTGGGACCAGGTGCTATAGAGGAGTGAGCAACCGCTGCCGACTGGTAACACCTGCCGTGTGCTACTTGTCATGCGAGTGAAGGGGGACAAAAATATGATTTTCAACTCGCTAAATTTATCAAAATTAGTCGTTCCAACAGTCAAACTCTTCCAAATTTGTGATTTTCATGACCCTGGATGATGGTTTATACTGTTAGAATAGGGCTTTGTTGAATAGGTAGTGAAAATGTATTATTTCTTTGAAAATCTTCTCTGCTTCTGGGTATAATTATATTTTAATAAGCAAGTGTACCAGATTTTTGAACATCTGGACCAAGTCTCTTGCTCTTCTACAACAAAGCTTCATCTTAAGTTTTTAGCTCACCTGAGCTGAAAGCTAAAGTGAGCTTTTCTGATCTCGCACCAATTGTCCGTCTGCCAGTCTGTTCGTCCGTCTGTAAACTTTTCACATTTTGAACTTCTTCTCAAGAACCACAGGGCCAGTTTTAACCAAAAATCTGTACAAAGAACTTTGGGTGAAGAGGAGCTGAAATGTAAAATGGAGGGTCAAACACCCTTACAAGGGTTGATAATTAAGAAAATAATAAGGTGAGGTCATTAAAAAATCTCAAGAGCCACTGGTCCAGAAAAGCTGAAACATATATGAAAGCATAATGGATAGTGTATATTTTAAATTGTTCAAATGATCACCCCCGGGGGTAGGTTGGCCACAAAAGGGAATCCAAATTCTATATTAGAATACATAAGGAAAAAATCTTTAAAATCTTCTCGATAACTCCTGAGCCAAAAAGCCGAAATTTATGTGGAAGTATTCTGGAGTAGTGTATTCTAAATTGTTTATATCATGACACCCCCGGTGGTAAAGGGAGGGGGGTATGGAGGCCACAGTATTTATTACAACGTGGTAAAAATAGTCTGGTGAAGATCAGCAGGGCCAAAGTTACTCAGGTGAGCATTGTGGCCAATGAGCCTCTTGTTTAATATACACACTATCGATCCTCAAAATTGTTTTATTACACTTAATTCAACGGTAAGGACCACGGGTCCCTCTTGGTTTTGCTTGTCGTCATTTTTCATGATACATGTACAGTTTTCAATTATTTTTTTCTCTTCTCATCCCTCTCATAAATGTGCCTGACACCCTCAGCTGTTTAATTTGGAGAAGATTAACAATGCCTTTAGGGAATTGAAGCAAAATTTTCATTTAATTAAGCAGTGTATAAGGAGGGTGTAGCTATGTTGCAATTCTACTGCAATTCATTCGTTTAGCTAAGTACTGTTAAAGCAGGGATTAAATAATTTATCAACGAAATTAAATCCCGCACGATGTTTTTATATTAATTAACTATAATATAAAATAATAAAGTTATTTTCAAAACAACGAAATTTAATGCCAGCGAAACCTCTTTATATGACAAATCAATGAAATTGGTACCCATGAGAATCTACAGTAATATCAAAGTGAAGAATTAACAGAGAATTTACAGGCGTAGTGACGAGTTGGCAGAGACAGAGGGAAGCTTGTCTTTATTAAGAAAACAAAACATTAAGTGTTTTCCTTTAAATAAGAAAAAAAAAAAAATATATATATATATATATATATATATATATATATATATATATATATATATATATATATATATATATATAATACCCCCTACTCATATAAGTGTATTATTAGGTAGGAGGTTTATTTTTTAATTAACAGAAATATAAGTGACGTCAGGTACCTGTGATAAAGAACTACTGAAGTGGGTTGAAATAAATATATAATTCAGATCTAGAGGAATTCATTTTTAGAGTTATGACTTACATGTCCTGGAAAATATGCGTTTAGCTTCGACAAAGGGATACCATTTTATCTTATATATTGCTATAATATAAATAAATAATAGTTATTTTCTCAAGCCACGGTCCGGAGTCCGCATAAAGCTCTCTGCAGAATGGGAGAGGATCGTACATTTTGGCCGTGGTTTGCGACGATGGGATAGATTCAGCGTAGCGTTTGCATATTTTGCGAAATAGAGGGAATACGCTTGTGGAAATTATTGTGTCGAATGTTTGATCATGATAAATGGAAGATAGAAAACTAATTTAAACACAATTAAACAATCTGTAGATCAAAATTTAAAAATGTTTTACAATACTGTTGTGTAAATATACATGTATATCATTATACCCCCCGCTTGAAAAGTGGGAGGGTATATAGTAATCGGTATTTCCGTCCGTCCGTCTGTCCGTCTGTTACGCTTTGGGGTAATATCTCTTATCCGCAACTCCTCTCATATATATATATATATATATATATATATTATATATATATATATATATATGACATATATATATATATATATAAAACATGGACACTGCCATTATAATCATATGGGAGGCGGGGGGTATCATTTAGTGAGCTCATTGCTCACAGTACCTCTAAAAAAGCGGGAGGGTATATAGTAATCGTTAATTCCGTCCGTCCGTCTGTACGTCCGTCCGTTCTTCCGTCTGTCTGTCCGTCCGTCCGTCTGTTACGCTTTATATATATATATATATATATATATATATATATATATATATATATATATATATATATATATATATGCCATTGTGCACCTCCTATTTAACTTTTTGATCTGACACATATTTTGGGTGTCCCGGCCATGGCAAAACATGGACTTTGTCATCAGTTATAACGATATGGGAGGCGGGGGGTATCATTTAGTGAGCTCAATGCTCACAGTATCTCTAGTTTTTATTCTTTCCTTTCTTTGTTGGTTCTATGTACGTTCTGACAAGCAGCATCCTCATAGATCTATACAATAGTTGTATATTTCTGAAAACCGTGAGGGAGAATCACATAATATTAATAATTTTCAATGGCAGAAATCCTTTATTGAAAAATGACCTAGATAAATTCAGTGTGCGTTCATGATTCAAGTTTGGTGAAAGAACAGTAACTCCATTCTAAGAAAATATTACTGAGCGTTTAGTACGAGGACAAAGTAAATTTATTGTATAAAAGTAATTTTCAGGATTTTTTTTTTCTGTTGCTCCCACTCCTTTACTTAAAAAAAGCGATGCTGTTTTAATAACTCACCTCATGGGCGTCGGAACCGGGGTGGGGTGGGGGCTTAGCCCCCCTCCCCACTGTTTTTGCAAATATATACAAATTATAGGCATTGAAAATTGGATTTTTCCTTTTTTTGTTGGTTTAGGTCCCCCCCCCCACTTTCAATTTGCTTCCGACGCCTATGCTCACCTGAGCTGAAAGATCATAAGAGCTTTTCTAATCATATTTTGTCTGTAGTCCGTCCGTCTATATCTGTAAACTTTTCATATTTTCGTGAGCCACTGAGCCAATTTCAACCAAACATGACAAAAAGTATTCTTGGGCAAAGGGGATTTAACTTTGTTCAAATGAAAGGACACGCCCTCTTCCGAGGGGATATAATTATAAATTAGTGAAATTACTGGCATCTTTTAAATTCAAAAATCTTCTTCTCAAGAACTACTGAGTCAGGAAAGATGAAACGCATGTGGAAACGTCCTAAAGTATAGTAGATTTATCGTCAGGTGATTTAGAATCGAATTTGTTTAAATCATGACTCTCCAGGGTAGGCCACAATTGACGATCCAAGTTTTACATTTGAATATATAAGTATCCACGGATGATCTCGTCGTTTACTAATCACGCGGGTGATGAGTAAAAAGACGAGATCACCCGTGGGTATCCGATGATGATAGAAGTAAAATCTTTAACTTATATGGAAGCATAAATAAATTCGGATAAAGTAGTTTCAGATTTGTTCAAATCTTAACCTCTAATGGTAAACGGGGACCGCAATAAAAGTTCAAATTTGTAGGAAATAAAGGTACAGTTAAAGAAATATGTAAGCATCCTAAGTTAGTGCAGAGACATATGTGTAGATTCAATTTTGTTCAAATCATAACCACCCCCTGCCCTTTTATGGGTAGTTCGGGACCACATTTGAATTTTATTGTTTTGTTCCTAGCCTCACTGTTCAAGTGAGGGATGTGGCCCATGTTAGTGATTCATAGGCCTGCTCATGATGATGACATTTACATTATTGTCCTTCATATAAATATTCTTGAAATTGTTTTATACTTTCTTGCTCATCTGCACGTATTTGTTGAATAAATGGAAATTCTTAAGCATTTAACAGGTCAAGTAGTTTAATCTTAATTTACCATAGTTTGATTCAATCACAAAGTCCAAAGAGACTTAATTAAGCACATGAATAATGAAAATTAACATTAAGATATGAAGAACATACTACATGTAGGTATTCCATATTTATTATGAATTTTATACATATAAAGAACAGCAATGAACAAAAAAATCACATAAAAATCTATTTCTTATAAACCTCTCTACAATTCTTACCGAGTATCATTATTAATAAAGGCTTGAAAAACCATTAAAATCTGGCATGCATAACATTTTCAAAAATTTTCTTTTTTGCAAGAAAATGCTGCCTTAAATAGTAAATTCTTATACATTTCACCAATTCTATTATAAAATTTCTTTTCTTTCTGGAATAAAAAAAAAATCAAATATAATGTGCATGTATATGTGCCAGTGATTAATCTAGGTTTAGGGGAAAACTACCCTTTTAGGTAAAATTGGAAAAAAATAACCGAGGGTCTTGGGGGCAACACCAGACCTCCAACGGGTGCAGGACGAGCCCTGCTGGGGGATCCGGTTTAGTCTCTGCATTTTTATGACTAAGTAAAATACATAAATAGGAAAGGAAACCCATATTTCACATCTGAAAATCTTTACTTTTAAATTTCCAGTTTTTATGAAGAAAAAAGTTTATTAGGGGAGTTCACTCATCAAAAGGGGAAAACAGGATATTCAGGGAAAATTTTCTCTTGGGAAAAATACTGAATATCAGTGGTAAATATGCCCAGGATTAATCCCTGTGTGCATACATATATACAATGTACATGTAGATTATGTATGAATTTCACTTTGACTTAAAAAAAAAAAAACCTTTTTGTGAGATATCATGCCAATCATACAAAATTAAAAATATACATAATATATACAGAATATTTACTAAAAAGGTAACATATAATTTAAATATATAAGCCATAAAACATGACTAGCTTGCCGATTCATAAAACTTATATAACTCGAATCATGCATATTTATTAGCCACTATTGAAAAATACTTTTTCTATTCATTGATGCATTTTTTTTCTTGATGATTTTTAAGTCCTGAAAAGAAATTCACAGCACACACAGACATCCAGGCAGTATAGAATGTATAAATCATTCAAGGAAAATATATATATATACAATACAGCTCTATTAAATTAGGAAATAAAACTAAAATGTAAAATATTCACATTACAACATAAAAAATAACTCCAAAGATGCCATTCAATATTTGTATCCTTTGGGGAAAAAAAGTCCACTCTACATACACTACCTATATACTCTACAAATAAATACTGTCTATTTTAAAAAATTGTAGATCTTGGAATTTTTTGGGTTTTTTTTTTGCTTTCAAAGATAAAAATAATCAATATTCCCTAGTTGACACTGGAGAGTGCTCATTATTAAGATTTCTGTAGAGCAAAAATGCAAAAATGATGCCAAGTAATAAAGTGACTCCGAAACCGAAACCGCAGCCAATGAGAGATCCTATATTATCTTTGATGAAATTTGTTGTGGCGTCTTTACATCCAATGTAGATGAGGGCTTTGTTTTCGCTGTGATTTGGGGTAATGTACCGAGGAGGTCCATACGGATTTCTTTGACAATTTCTCAACCAATCATCTGTGGAATATGCTCCTTGATGCCGACAGCATGAAGTGGGCACAAAGATTGTATGTTGGTCTGGCTGGATGTAGTTGTGTGGATTCACCTGTTTAAACCATTCTGAGTCTCTATAGAGATTCCAGCCCTGGTAATCTACGGCACAGCACTCCAGCATCCTTTGCAGAGTATCCCACGAGTTCGTGACTCTCTTATTCTCCGCATTATTTTCCACATTATTCCCATATTTGTACCTAATGGTATTTTTCATGTTTTCAATCATGCTTGACCCAAGTTTATCTTTGAATGCGGCAGCAACTGCCCCAGCAGCGATCAGTAAAATTATGGTCAAAATGATGGTCATCATGTAAAGTACTAGAATGGGTCTATTTTGCATGACTGTTCCAACACATCCCACACAACTAATGATGATCAAGACGCACCCGGCGAAAATCAACAGGTACGCCGCAGTGGAATACAGGTCCGATCCAATCACATCGGAAATGAAAATTTTATCCACGGCCTGCCACGCGCCGAGTCCAACACATGCTCCTCCTAGTATAAAGAATAGTATGTTCACCAAGGCCAGGTAGATCCTCAACTTCCCCCTCGACAGCAGTCCCATCTTGAAAGCCGAAATTTCTCTGAATGATAAACACAAAATCAAGCCTTTTCTTTTCTACCGTCTTCTCCGACGTTTACATTTTCCAATTATGTATTATAAAACAAAAACGTCCAAGCGTCTCACAAAAATGTCCTGCTATCTAATCGATCTACGACTCGGGGATAGACGATGGCCGGCCTCACCTTTTTTTCGAATTCAGTGCTTTCTTGAGTAATCAGTTGTTATGCTGGTCCTCATAGCAAGTAGAGATTTCTATAAAATAACGAGTGATTATTCAACCGTTAATCTGCTTGGGACCCAGTTTAATGTCATACCTGATACCGGAAATCAGGTGAAAATTACTCAGGTGTAAATCACAGGTGTGGTTAGTGCGTACTTCGTTACTTCGAAAAGGAAAGTTTAAGGAAAAAAATAACAAAACCTTCGCCCCCCCAGATATCAGCGATATTTTTCTCATATATTTTCAGATAGGTAACCTGAATAATGTTGCCAAGTTAATTAGAGAATTTGTAAGGTTAACAAGAGATCCTGGGCCACAGTGCTCACCTGAGTAACTGATGGCCCCTTTCTTGTTTGTTATACCCCCTGCTTGAAAAGGAGGAGGGCATAAAGTGATTGGGTTGTCTGTCTGTGCGTCCGTCCGTGTAACACTTTGAGGTACCCATCCCTTATCCGCAGCACCTCTTATATATACCACTAAATGAAATTGAGATTTTCACAGAATCTCTCATCTCTGTTACAGTGCCTGTGTACCTCCTATTTCATTTTTCGATTGGACACATATTTCCGGTTTCCCAGCTAGAGCAAAGCATGGATCTGCCATTCTCTGTACAATATTGAAGGGTATACCCATCTCTAATCCGCAACTTTTCTTAATCCTATATCACTGAATAAAATTTTAATGATGCTTTCCAAGATTCTTTATTACATAATGCCATTGTGCACCTCTCGTTTTACTTTTTGATCTGACACTTAACTTTGGGTCTTTCAGAGCAAGGCATGGATTTTGCCATTATCATATGAGAGACAGGGTATCATTTGGTGAGCTCTGTACTTACGGTACCTCTATTTTTGTCCCCTGCTTTCGCAAAAGCGAGGGGACATTAAATCTCTTTCGTCTGTCCGTCAGTCTGTCTAGCTGTCCGTCCGTCACAAAAACTTTAACCTTGCCCATAACTTTTGATTTCGAGGAGCTATGACTTTCATATTTCATAGTAGTAGTAGTAGTAGTAGATTTATTCAGGTAATAAAATCAATGTATGATACAGGGTGGTACAAATATAAATAATGCATAAAATGAAAAAAACCTTATCACAGTAATAAAATTTCAAAAATAAATATAAAATTCTAAATACAGGTGTCCTTTTCCGAATGTTTAAAATATAAAACAATTTTTGACATTTATAAATTTTATGAATAAAAATATATGCATTATAATCATCGTGATATCATGACATTAATTCATAAACCTAAGGATAACCCATGAAAGCAAAATTGCTTATTTCCAATGGGGTCCTTTTTATAAATAAATAAGTGAATAAATAAAACAAAAAACTAACTAAACAACAAAATTAAGTACGAGGATGTAGGCAAGATTTTGGCAGATACATCAATCAAGGCACCTCATTCAGATAGGACAGGTATTAAAAAACCCTGTATCAAATTTGAAAATAAATTACACAAAGCATTTAAAATAAAACAATACATTCATAGTTGTTAAAAATCAAAAATATATAAAAGAATTCTCAACACATCTTTTAAAATCCTCCATTAGATGCTTTTTTACACAGTTCTTAAAAGTTTCTTTACATTCTAAATTCTTAGTAAAAAGTGGCAAGTCATTCCAATCCTTGATGGCATTGTAATAAAAAGTCTGATCTTGGCAATATCTAATCAATGGCAATTTAAAGTTGTGGCTATTAGAGGATCTAGTATTAGAGTAATTATTACTTAAACTTGTAAAATTTGTTTCAAGATAAACAGGAGCTTTCTTATGAACAATATTAAAAACATGATTCAGTCTCATCTGCTTCACTCTCCTGTCCACATTCAACATATTAATAGACTCAAAAATACTATAATTGATGGAATGCATCGGGGATAAATCCAACATAAATCGAATGACCTTATTTTGGCAAATTTGTAATTTACGTTTCATAGCTTTTGACAGTCCAGAGTACCAAGAGCTACATGAATAATCTAAGTGACAGAGGATAAGTGCTGTACATAATGAGAATTTGCTCTTTTGATCCAAAAATCTTGCTTGTCTATACAAAAATCTTAATCTACAGTTCACCTTTTGAACAAGAGAAGATACAAAATTTTCACCAGATAATTTGGAATCAATGTACAGACCAAGATATTTTACTTGTTGAGAAGCCTTAATGACATGCTCTTTACACACAATGAAAAAATCATCCAACTTTACTGAGTTTTCGTTTCGGACCAAATAACATACACTCTGTTTTGCCTAAGTGTAATGATAATTTGTTGTCAACCAACCAGTCTGAACAAGATTCAAGTGTTTTACTGAGTTTCTTAGCTATATAATCGGTACATTTGTGGGAAAAGAGTATGGCACTATCGTCTGCATATAAAATCAATTTACAGTCATTGTCAATACTCAAAGACATGTCATTTACATAAATCAAAAACAAAAGTGGGCCTAAAATACTGCCCTGAGGTACACCACATGTAACATAACCAGGACTTGATGTGGCACCATTTACACAGACAAATTGTTTTCTATCACATAAGTACGATTTGAACCATCTCAAAAAATTGACCCCTAGGGTTTCTAACTTTTTACATAGTATGGAATGGTCGACAGTGTCGAAAGCTTTTTGTAAGTCAAGCATGACCATGCCGGTGAACAGACCCTTAGCATTGTTGTCTCTAATGTGATCAAGAAGATGAATTAAACAAGTATCAGTTGAATATTTATCTCTGAATCCAGATTGAAACTCAAATAAAAGGTTGTTTTCGCTTAAAAAATTTGAAAGTTGTACATGAACACTCTTTTCCAGAATTTTTGACACAATGCTAAGAATACTAACCGGCCTGTAGTTTTCAACATCAAGGGGACTTCCCTTTTTGTACAATGGTTTAACACGTGCAATTTTCATGCCCTCTGGTACCTCCCCTGAGGTTATAGACAAATTTATTATAAAAGTAATTGGAATCTTTAAAATATGTGCACCATCCTTGATGAATCTTGCTGGTAAATCATCAAGACCTGTACTTTTTGATGTGTTTAGAGAAATCAATTCCTTATAAATATAATCCTCAGTCACCGTTGCTAATATAAATTTAGATCCTTTCACATTTCTCCGTGAATAAAAAGACTTAAAAACATTGACTGCTGACAGAAAAAATGTTTGTATATGCTGGTAGTTTGGACACTAGATTTGAAGCTACATTGGTAAAAAAAGACACAAAGCTATCAACTATCTTCTGTGGGCTATGACAGATACCATTTTCTAATTTCAAACAAAGTTTTTCTTCACCTTTTTTATTTTTCAAACCTAGATCTTTAATGCATTGCCAAAGTTTCTTAGGATTTTTCTTATTTTCCTCTATTTTATCTTTAAAATATTCAGATTTTGCCCTTTGTATTTCTCTTTGAACAATGTTGCGAGTTTTACAGTAATTCTTGTAGTCGTCTTCTTTCTTTGACATGTTAAAACAATATAAAAGATGATCTCGTTGGCGAATTAAATCTAAAATTTTAGAATCCATCCACTCCTCTGTTCTTTGTTTAATTCTAACTTCCTTTATAGGTGCAACATTGTCTAAAACTGACAAGAAAATTTTCTGGAAAGCATTCCATGCAGTATTAACACACTCTGTATTGAAACATTCAGACCAATTCACTTCTGCCAGCTGTTGCAGAAAGTCGTCCACAGAATAGTTTCTCAATGATAGTATACGGACAGTATTATGCGTGTTAAAAACACCTCGACTTATTTTCCGTGACGCATAGGTAAGTAGGTGGTCGCTTAAACCAACTGAGATGGTTCCAGACTGAATGACATTTTCAGGTGAGTTACACAGTATATGATCAATAACAGTGCTGGTGTTTGATGTAATTCTTGTAGGACTGTTGATCAGCTGCTTAAGATTGAACAGTTTTAACACATGTTTATATGCTTCCAATATATTGCTCTGCTGCTGATAAGAGATGTTGAAATCACCTAAAATGTATGTCTCACAATCGGTCCTAAGTTTTAGAAGAGTGTTTTCAAATTTTTCTACAAAACTGGACTGATTCGGTGGTCTATATCCTACGCCTAAAATAATAGGCTTCGACTTGGGAAGGTAGATGTTAACTAGGAGTATCTCTTCATCCGCGGTGGTCACATCCTCTATGCGCGTGAATGCTAGTTTATTGTTTATATATAGACATACTCCACCACCATTGCGGTAACGACCTAACCTTTCTAGGCTATAACCTTCTATGGATACTTCACTGTCATTTACAGACTTATCTAGCCACGACTCACCATTTATATGTATTTCTTGTGAAAAGATCTTTCTTTGGGTACCACCAAATTTGACCTTTTGACCTTGGAGTTTGACCCACTTTTACACAAAAATTCCAAACTTTTACTTTGGCCATACCTTTTGAATGGTATCTACTAGGACTTTCAAATTTCACATAGGCTATGTATTCTTTGTAGCAAGACCTTTTATTGGATACCAACAACCTTGACCTTTTGACCTTGACCTTGGAGATTTCCATACTTGTGAAAAAACTTTAACTTTGACCATAACTTTTGAATGGTAAGGGCTAGCGCTTTCATACTTCATATATATAATTCATGTGAGAAGACCTTTCATTGAATACCAAGAACTTTGCCCCTTGGACCTTGGAGTTTGACCTACTTTTCAAAAACTTTGACCTTGGCCACAACTTTTGAACAGTAGATACCAGGACTTTCATATTTCACATATGTATTCTTTGTGGCTAGACCTTTCATTTGATACCAACAACCTTGACCTTTTGACCTTGACCTTTCAGATTTCCATACTTATGAGAAAACTTTAACCTTGACCATAACTTTTGAATGGTAAGGGCTAGGGCTTTCATACTTCACATATGTAATCCTTCTAAGAAGACTTTTCATTGGATACCAAGAACGTTAACCCTTTGACCTTGACCTTGGAGTTCAGTGATAATTTCTAAATAGATGACTTATGAAAGGGCGTTCATATTAGACACAAAATGTCATAAAAATATGACATCTCACCCAAAAAGACACCGAAAGTGGGGGACCACAATTCTTTGAATTTGCTTGTGTTTCTTGTTTACCATAATGTCCCTCTCAAGAACATTT